TAGCATATTAAATAATACTGTAGCTGCTAATGATTTGGTACAGAAAATTCTTGCAAGCAATGTAATTGCATAAGGAAAAGAAGTTCCTCATTGTATCAAAAACTAGTGCCTATCTCAGCCTCATATTTGGCTTTCAGCAACTTTTTGTTTGACTTCCTTATCAGTCACAGTTAGGTACGACATCACATCTCACTTTTCTCTATGATGTTTCTGTTTACATATTATTATGATCTAAAAGGAAATAAATAAAATGAGGTTGGCCGGTGGTTCTGATCATGCTCTTTGCATGCACGGCGCTTCAACTGTTGTTGGATTCATTGCTCCCCTGTTTCTCTTACTATTTCTTTTACCTTCTCTAGTGACTGAATTTTTACAGGTTGGTCCAAAGTCCAAATTTGCAATCAATTTGAGAAATACTTTACTCTTGCTGCAAAAACCTTAACATTGATGTGTCAGCAACTGTTTGGCCTGCTGCTTATTGCCTCCTTTTTATGCAGCCTTTCTTGACGACAAAAAAATTCCCACAATTATTTACATTACAGCTTTTCGCTTCTTTTGATGACCAGAACTGCTGTAAAGTTTGACAGTTATATTAGCAGTCAACAGGATATGCCTTAAGAAACTTGACAGATAAGTGACCTGAGCAAATTATTGCAGTTCATGAATTTAGCTGCAACAAAACTCAGTTTTGCAATGCTGATGGATTTATATATATTTTTCGCAGAAACTCCGTAATTTTAGCACGTCTAGTTCAGAAGACGCTTCTTAATTACTTTATTATCTGATATCTCCTGGCTATATTCTTCTTCTGAAGTTGAAAAGGCTATGCATTCCAGCTTTTGGCATTTGGCAAGGCAACTGAAATAAACAACTAGCTATGCAACCACATCTTATTTGCCACTTTGAGGTTTGGATAAGCTCAGCACTACTCACAAGAAGTCAATAAAGCAAGTGTGCAAGTTGCAAACCTTGGGGGTTTTAGGGACAAACACCTGCGCTCAATGCTTAAAAGTAACTCAACATGGCCCTTTTTCCATCGGGACCTTCACCCCTGCTTTTTTCCTGGGTGTTTGGTCCCTGGTGGAGTAAACAGCAATCACTGGAGGAAGAAGCATTGTCCCCTTGCTTGCTGGTTGGCTCCACACCACATGCATATGCCTCCTTTGCCCCTGCCTTGGTAGTAGTAGTATATTATTGCTTGCTCCTGGCTGGGCAATGGCCTTCATGTGTGGCTGGGTCTATGCCCTGCTCAACTCATGAGTATACTGCATTTGCTGCCTGGTCCTGGGTGCTGTTTGTAAGCATGCCATGGTAATTTCCTGGCAAGGAACAAAAGGCAATTATTGTTGCATTTTCTGCCATTGTAGACGGTAGCGCAATTTTGTGTTCCTGATCTCGGCAGCCTGGTTTCGATCTGGCCGAATCACTGACAGATTTTTCTTGACATAGTATTTCAGCCTGTACTGTTGCAACTGACCCATCCAAGAACCTGATCTTCCGTTGAATTTCAGTTTAACCGAAGCTTTCAGAAACCCTGACAACAGCAAACAATATTTGCAATTTATATGTGTATATACCTTTTAAATATACTCTACTCAATATATTTTTTCTGTAGTGTGTCACCTAAGGAAACACATAGGAAATGTGATGTGTACTCACGCAGGCATGCAGGGCTTGACATCACCCAGGGAAAAGGTAGAAATGGAGTATGCTTGCAATCTGGTAGCTTCTTCCTTAAGCTTCGGTCAAAGGTGAGGGGAACATGTGCTCATAAGCTCAATCATAGCGCCATGCTATTACTAGTTTGGAGTTAAGACTAAACCTAAGCTAATGGCATACGGAAAGGATCGCTTCCTAGTTCTTCTGGCTTCGGTCGGCCCGCATACCCCAGGTAGAGAACATATTGAGTTGAGCTTTTTGTCTCTTTTGTTTTTCTTTCTAAGTTCTACTCTATCCATGATCCTTGAATCAGATATTCCAATATTTCATTTATTTTTGGTGTTATGCAGATGTACAGTAAAGCTGTTTCGCCGCAACAAATGAAAATCATGTGAAACAAGCTGGGCAATAGGCACTAGCAAGGAGCGAAAATGGCATCTTGATCTGAACTTGGTGACCTGCCCCTTTGGATCTCAGTGCTTCAACTAATTACCGGGACAGGAGGAATAAAACGGGGTGATCTTGGCAAATGGTGGATCTGCCGCGTTCATCATTCCGTGATACACATGGGATGAGCACAATAATGATGTAAGTACCAGGATCGTTTTCCCTTCCGTTGCATATAGCTTCTCAATTCCTTTTCTATTTGTTTTGTGTGCATCATTGTTCAGACACTATTATATTTTGCACGCGAGAGATATGCAGTGTGAAAACAGCATAGTAGAAGGCAGGATTAATCAGCAAGATAGAACAGAAGGGCTAGCTGCGTGCATGATGGGTCCTCACATGAGAGCTTTCACGCAGGCAGGCATCATTTTATCTTCCTCTGCAAACAAGCATCACCATCTCCCATCTGTCCCTCCCTCCTCGCTTAATTATTCCCTCCCGCCCCGCCCCGCCCGCCTCATCTCATCCTCTCGAGTCACTGCCTTTTCCACACCATCTTTTCAACCTCATACACGCGCGCATAATTATATCATATTGTGTTCCCCGCCGCGCTTTCTTTTCCTCTGACATTCCGGTCAGTACGCTTCATGCATGTGTTCCATCATGCCGACTGCTTCGCACAAGCTGAGCAGCACTGAGTGGTGAGAGGCGAGATTGCGGTCCGTGCATGGCTTGCGGTCGAGCATAGGGTTCGTTCTTGCATGCACTATATAAGCCAGCAGGCAGTCGGCCGGCCAGCCGGAAGCTTAGTTGGTGGGAGGCATGCATGTCATTGCTGCTCTTATGCGTGTTTGCCATCCCCTTAAAGCAGTGGCTGGGAAGCATGCATATATACATCCCCTGCTTCGCCGGTACCACGCACTCGGGGCCGTAAGCGGTCGCTGTCGATCTCATCCCGGGCTTTCTGGCTTGTCTCTAATGCTGTGTCATCTACTTGCTGCTTCAGCACCATCCTTGGGCCATAATCACCAGAGTGTTATCTGTGGTAAGTGAGTTCCGTATATGCATTACTGTTCTTCCCTTATTGCCACGTCGTTGGTTAGCCTGGTTAATATCTCCGGGCTTGTGATTGACATTTACCTTTTCTTTTCATTCTTCTCCAGAAAGTCATTCCTTTACCTGTAGCTCTTTTTGTCGAAAAACACTTCGCCTTTGTGGCTCAGTATACGACTCGCCCAGGGCCCTAGATTATATGCTTTGCTTTTTAAACCCATTTCTTACCTTTTGTAAGTTGCTGTTTGAATGTCTCATGAAACAAGAGTGACTGTTTTCCCTGAGTGGTAGAGCTACCCTGTTCCTATTAACGTAAAGTGCTTGTGATGTAGATAAGTAGTTGGACAGTAGATTTTTGGTACCTGTCATTCTGGTAACATTACCTTCGATGCAGAGCTATATCTGAAGACATTATCACTTATATATGATGTCAAGTATATAGGTCATCCCTGTCAAATATATGATGTCAAGTTTAGTTAGTTTTCTTCTCTCTAGCAGACCTATCCAGCATCATATAACCGGACTGTTCTGTATCATGATCTGAAGAAGTTCTTCCATGCATGTCGGTTTCCTTCTCCATATATGTTTCTTATGATTGAACTTAAAACTGCTTTGTTGATCTAAGTTATTATTCTGCTCTGAGACTACTCATTCCCTGCGACTATGACGCCATGTTAAGTTTTCTGATGTCTACATGTTTTCGGCGTCAGTTATTTGCTAGTACCCAGAGTCGTAGCAGAGACCTACATTTCGTTGTTGATTCTGTGAGTTATTTCAGGACTTTGACATAGAGAATGTTTATTCTATAAGTGTTTTTTTATTTATTTAGGTATGATCGTAGCAGAGTAGAACATAGCCTGTATCGAACTAGGTGAAACAATGTGAAGAACATGTGAGACCGACATTTCAGGCCCATGCATTACTAACTGTTCAAGTTAAGACTTCATATAATATATGCACTCGAGGGACCTAGATAATTTTCTTGGTGATCCTCATGAACACACATTGTTCAAGCAAGCTAGCTACCATTATAGGTATTTAATCAAATATACGGCACGCATGTAATCATAAATACTTCATCCCATAGCCCTTTGTTTCTGTAAAAGAATTAGCTGATGATGAACTAAATGCATACTCACATGCATCCACATAGATAAGAATGATGGCTCACCCTTCGGACCACAGAGGGAGAATGATTAGTCATACTTATTAAGATTAAGTAAGTGTTTACATTGTTTACATCTTTGCCTAATTTATTTGAATGTAATATTGGTGTCTTATGTTATCTAGTTATTCTGAACAATCTTTGCTAATTTAATTGGAAGATCTTCACGTTGTCATTTGTACTTCTTATTATGCAAGTACTAGAAACATGTAAGGCTATGAGTATAAACATCTTCTTAGCGTCTGTACATGGTTAAGTCTGCTAAAAAAAATTGTTCTCTGACAAGAGGATTATAGCAACGGGCAACAAATGTAGAAACAAATGTCTTGTTATAAAAATGAGCGCAGTCGGTACGGTGTTCGAGCATATATTTATTGGCACAATTGTACATATGCGCTATCAAATCGTTGAAAGACCAACGGATTAAAATTACATAACTGAACCGTGTTGCCCTTTACAAATCATAATTCATGAAGCCTTTATGTTCTCCATGATATTATTTCATATATATAGCAACACAGTGATATGTAATTGTATATTTAGTACAATGCCCCTGAAGCACGTAAACAGCACAACACTACACACAGCATATGTAATAGTCTTATTTACATGGCGTTATGTAACTCAAAATACTTATCTGTCCAATAATTGATATATGATCATCATCCTTATTGTAACTCCTTAATATAATAATTATAGATGGGATGCTAGTATATTCGATTGGCGCCGCTGCTCATCACTTCCATGGATCAACTTGACTGCTCGATGTTGAGGTCGACGCGTAATCAGTTACCAACTCTTGCGCCTTCTCGTTGAGCTGAAGAATGTCTCCTTCATGAGCATAATCGACACCCTTGGCTGCATCATTACTAAGCTGAGACGCGACGAACTTGTCCAGAACTCTCCAGTCAGTGGCAGCTTGGTCGTCGACGGCATGGTCAATAAGTTGAACATGGTGGTGCTGGGCATGGTGCACATTGATCTGGTGATCGTCTGGCGATACCAAAAGAGAATGGAAGGAAGAAGGGCTCTCTAGCTCGTGAGGAATGGTGTTGAGAACATGATGGTGGTTTGGCATTTGGTATTGCAGCTTCAGCTCCCTCTTATAGGTGCTGTTGAGCATCTGGAGGTGTTGTTCTTGCAGCGCCATGCTGTGGTGAGGCGGCATCCCTCTCATCGGAGAGTTGAGGTCATGCATGAAGGGCCCATCATCGTCGACGTACCAGCATGGTGCATCATGGTCTAAATCTCTTCTTGTTGTGGGCAATCTCTTCTTGAACACCCTGCATACTACCCACCCTTCCTCCTGAAATTTACAAACTTAATTAGTCTATATTAATTTATAGAGTAGCTTGCAGGTTTATATGTATGTGAGTCAAGATGGACAGAGGATCCATGGATATAAGTTGGAGAAGCAACAGCTTGCCTGTGGAGGGCCATTCTCATTGGTCTCGAGGCGGTACTCATGCATGATCCAATCGGATTTCTGGCCATTGGGAGCTCTGCCCTTGTAATACACCAGGGTCTTCCTCATGCCAACCAGGCAGTGCTTTGCATAGATGGGCTTGTCCCTCCCTGTCGCCTTCCAGAACCCCGCCGCTGTCGCGCGGTTCGTCCGAGTCCCCGTCGGGTACTTCTTGTCCTTGTGGCTGAAGAAGTACCAGTCGCTCTGCTCCTCCTCAGGCCCTATCCTGCATTTCTCTGTACACAAATGAATGGTATAGAAGATCAGCAAAAACATACTATGTTGTCAAGGCTACACTAAGTTGTCATTGTACACTTTAATGTAAAAAAAGTTGTCATTGTACATTTAATTGGACTTCGTTAATTAATTGTGTATGTAATGTATATACCTTGGAGATCCCATGGCTCTATCTTGTAGAGATCAACATCCTTGATGACGTTTAGGTCGATCCTTCTGGACGCCACCTTCTTGCGGAGGTAGTAGTCCACGAGCTCCTCGTCAGTCGGATGGAACCGAAAACCCGGAGGGACCTGCGGCTGTGTGTTGCTGCCCATGTCGTCCGTCCAATCGATCGATGTATAACTACACCTGCAAAATGTATGGAAATCTTCTTAATTACATAACTGTGGCGTGTGAGTAAAAATGAAGCATGCATGCAGTGCAGAGAAGACAGCAAAAGATCAGATCAGGAAACATATTGCCCATCTATACACGTAGGCATGCATGCCTGTGTTAATTTAACAGAATTTGATGAAGATCGAGCAGGCAAGCATGCATGCCTAGATGTGTCTTGTGTGGGAAGCGTGCATGTGATAATGGATAGGTAAAAAGTAGTGGTAATGCTGGGAGAAAGCATGATCATTTGTGTGACGCATGCATACTACACATGCTGAGAGGCATCACTCATTGCACCTTGTGGAAATGTTCCCCAGCTTCTACTGCTCAAAGGTAGATCTCATCATACATGCATGTATGTATGTTTGTCCCTGCTCTACCTAGCTACTTGTGTAGTGAACATATGTATGTGCTACTTGTATTTGCACTTTTATTATTTTGTACATAGTTGGGTAATATATAAGCACTTGTATTAGCTTAGGTCCCAGTCAAGGTGCTCATGCATCTATGATCATATGTGCTAGCTAGCTGACTGGTGGGCATGCTTTATGCCTGGATCTGATCTAAGTTTGTAAGATCTATTTGGAGGATACATTTAGCACTCATGCATGGTGCATGGATGTGTATGTATAATGTTGTAAGTACAAATATACGTGGTCATGTGCAAGTTGATATATATCCTTATTCATTTAATTATAAGCATTTCAAGTTTAAATAAAGTAGACATGCACACACACATCATCTCAACATGCATGTACTTACAAGATATACATCTATCAGTGTGTGTTATATATGATAATATGATCCCTTTCCAGAAGAATTTACATGTATATGTACATACTTATCAGCACAAAGAAATCTCAAGCATAGATTATGTAGCAGAACAAAACACATCATATCCATTCTCCATAAGAAAATAGAACATACAGACAAACTATATATATCCATCCGCCACAAGAAAATAAAACACACAAACACAATATATATTTGGGGAGCTGAAAATAAAAGGTGGTAGCAAGCCAGTAGCTCACACAAGTTTTGAAATCAAATATGTAAATGATATCCATATATGTATGTGTGCTAGATTGAACTTGGATCTCGTCAACACAAAAATTTACTCTCATATGTACATATAGGTTTCTGCAAATGATAAGTCCATATTGAAGAAGATGCAATCCATTAAATGTATGAAATTCTTGCGTATATTAGTGTGCTAGTAATATAGAGTATGTTGCATCTGTGATCAATTTTAACGTACTGATCGAACAGAACATCTCTACTTATCATATCATATATAGATAAGAGTTGATCTAGGGTTCCAGGGAAGACATGTTTTTCAGGACAACTGAAATACATGTTAGGTTTTATACCTTTGTTTGATCAATGGAGATCAGTCGTGAGATGCGTGATGAAACCTTGTAGAAAGAAGCCCAGAGATCTGGCTAGCTAGCTAGGGGAGCAGCAATACAATAGCTAGTAGACAGGGATGAGCTTTTTGTCTCAAGGCTTGTCTCTCCGATCTGCCTTTCTGATCCCTAATAACTCATTGTCTGGCTCAGATCCCAAGGAGAATGTCGAGAACGACGACCGCAGAGAAGAGCACGCGCGCGCACAGGTACAACACAACAATAACAAACAACGTCAGAGAAAGCTCAAGGACCAACAAGACCAACTAAGAAGAACAAGAGCTGAGATGAATCTAGCTAGCTAGCTCCTCACAGAAGTACATGGAACAAAAAAAGAACATCATCAAGGTTAAACTCGCTCATATATACCTGCTGCCTAGTCGATCGATCGGTCTGCATGCACCCTCCGGCGGAGCTCTTGGCTGATTGTTGGCTGCTTCTTCCTCCTCCTCCTCCTCCGTCCCTTGATCCTGCTGAGCAGGTAGCTGCTGCAGAGAGGAGAGAGAGGAAGAGGGCTGCAGGAGAGGAGGAGGAGAGAGAGTGGGGGAACGGGACGGGAACGGGGTTGATAAATGTATGGGGGGCAGAACGGGATAGGATGATCAAATGGAGGAAAAGCTTAGCGCAAGGATTGATTAATCTATGGCCGCCATGGATCGGTTGACAGGCAGGCAGCTAAAGGTAACAAGATTACTATCCGAGCTAGGCAGCGATCGATCCGATGAACCGCGGAGGATCGAGCTGCCTGGCTAGGGTGAAAGGGAGGGCAATGGAGGTGGTGGCGAGTGAGTGAGGGGGAGAGAGAAGGGGTCGAGGTGGAGAAGAAGAAGACGTAGGAGAACAGCGACCCCCAGCTTTGGCCCACACGCAATGCTAGAAAAGAAAGAAAGAGAGGGAGGGAAAGGGACCCGACCACCCACCAAACAAATCCCTCCCGTCCACCCTTGTTGCCTCGCGCCATCATTCCCCTCCTTTCTCCGTTTCTTTTCATAAAATATCCCTCCAAAAGGCCAATGCCAATTGCTACTGCTCCTCTCCTCTCTTCTAGGGTTTGTGGCTAGCTTGATCCATCCATCCATCAACCCCCCTAGTACAAGTGTGAAGGATACTATAGCTAGTGCCATTCTACTTCCTATGGCCATAAACCATACGGCGCTAGTATATTTTGAGGTTTAACTTTCACCACCAATCAGTAGTCAAATAATGTGGAGGTTATGTGTACGTATACTGTAAAATTTGAATCATCGAATATGTGCTTTGAAGAAATTTACAACGGTACGACCGACTGGATACGCAACCCGTATGTTGTGGGTTTAACCGATGGACAAAATTAAATCTCGGAACTCGGTATTTTAGGGCAGGGGAGTACATAGTATGAAAAGAAATTGGGGCCGTATCTTAAGGGTATGACTTCGTTCGGATATGTAAGTCTAGTCTTTGCAAGATAATGACATTTATACTCCTATGATGATGACAACGGCTTTCGCCCGCCGTAGATCCCTCAAAATACTCATGTGATGAGTACTCGATCCGCCGCGCGATCTCTTGTCTGCACACCGAAAGAGATGTTTTTCCGCCTTTACCGCGATCGGGATCCCTTTCTTAATTAGCTAGATCTTTTGTTTGAAACCAACGTCTCGAATTATCTTTTATACAAAAAAAACCTTCGGAAATGTCATCGTTAACTTGACTCCAATATCTACGACTATCTGCATTGACAATTGTTGGTACTATATATGTTCATTTTTAGCAAGAGTCTAATATAACTGCATGATTCATATATATGCCGAGTAGATAGAAAGCTAGGCATGCAGGTAGCAATCTCATGCGTGATAAGTGTTCATGTCCCTCCTCATTACATCCATCGTCGTCTCTGGCTATAGCCCCATCGTCATCCCACGTACCTGCCCTACCTAGGCTGTATGTGTAGAGCATAATGTGTGGGTCAAGCTTAAGCCTGGGGGATGTAAATAATCATGTGCTTGTCCCTATGTATGACACTGATCATTAGTGATCATGCATGGTTCATGATCTACCCGGGCCGGCCGGCAGGTGCATTCCAGCATTAGTTTGTACGTTCATACGTAGAGTGGTAGGAGAAGATGAAGACCACAAATGGCTAGAGACCCATGTATATGGATAGGCATCCATACCGCAAACTTTGATCATATAGAGCTGATTGCCATCATTATTTCTATCGAAATGGAATTGTCGCACATGATGTCTACATACACGCAGCGAAATATTAGTAGAACTGCAAGTATTACAACAGTTTAATATTCAAAAAAAATCTATTTAATTTTTAAAAAAACTAAAAAGTATCATATATGTGCGTAGAGTATGCGGTGAAACATATGTCTGTGATTTTTTTTTCCAATTATGGCGATTTACGGCCCGTGCTATAACAGCTGAATTATTTACCTTTATTTCTGTACAAATTTGCGTATAGTCATATTCTGTAACAAAATGTGCATGCATGATCTTCGCTCCGTAATTTGCATGTATATACGATTTTATTTTTCAAATAATGTTGAACAACCTTGTAGGACAACACTTTTGTCATTCTAGAAACTAGTCGGCGGGTAAAGTGCTTCAAGATATGATGTTTTTAGGGAATTAAGTGAGTCCAAAAGAATTCGATGAGAAATGTAAACCAAGCCAATAGTCTAAAGTGGCAAAGGGGATTTTTTTTCGCTCCGATTTTTTTTAAAAAAAACTCAAAGACCATGCACGCCGGCCCAGTTGGGAGAAGTGTGTAGGAGAATACCCCATTCCTGGCTTGCACCAAAAAGGTATAAAAATTTCTCAAAAAGAAGGTATAAAAGCTGATGTTTCTTACAAGATTGTTTTTTTTAATGGAAGTGATAGACCATGCATGAAAACAGCAAGTGGGGTACTAGCGGAGAAGTGTGTAGGAGAATACATTCTTGGCTTGTGCGAGAAAGGTGGCATGCATGTTGCATTCATTCCCTCCAACACCGCCCCCATGACAGGCGTGAGCTTCGTCCGATGATTAGCCTCACACCCGGCCAGCACCACGTTCTTTATCCTGGCCCTCCCTCCCTCCTTTCGTTTTTTGCACGCTCCTTCTGCGCGTGTTGCCTCTTGGTGCGTGGCATCCAGTAGGAGAACCATACAACACCTCGTTAACAGTACCTGCACACAAGATAATAAATCCTTGCACCCAAGCGAACAAGGGGTTGTCAATCCCTCGACGGTTAATTGAAAGATCAAATTGTATGATGATAGATAGATAGATAGATCACGCAAAAATATAAAATAAAATAAAGAAAGAAAAATTACAGCAAGGTATTTTTAGTTTTTTATATATGATAACAGTAGGCCTGGGGGTCATAGTTTTCACTAGAGACTTCTCTCGGAAAAATAACATACGATGGGTAGACAAATTACTATTGGGCAATTGATAGAAAAGCAAATAATCATGACGATATCCAAGACAATGATCATGTTATAGGCATCACGTCCGAGACAAGTAGACCGAAACGATTCTGCATCTACTACTATTACTCCAC